ATATTTTATTAAAATAACAAATATGTTTTTGGGTGCCCAATCACACCTTAATCAAACATTAGTGGCGACTCCATGAATCGCTTTTATTGTTTTTTTAAACTCGAATCCCAAATTATTCTAGACAAATATTTGTACAAAATTCGATTTTTAATTGACCAGCTTTTTTAAAAGGAATGTCTTGACATTCTTATTCACCCCTTAACCCAAAATCTTATAGTAAAAATTTACCTCAATCTTAGTGACCCCACATCACTCAAAACACTAAATTCACTTAAACAAGAGTTTAGATTATATAGATAGGAAATGGAAGCGGAGTGATAAACGTTGTTCATAGTTGAAGAATCAAGTATATAGGTCTAGACTCAATCAAAGGATGAGACGGAAGATGGATTAAATTGTTATCGCAATTTAGGGTTTTAAATGAGGAATAAAGTTGCTAGAAAATTAAGATAGGAACACAAGATTAATATTAAGAAAATGAAGATAAATGAAAGATAAAGAAGATAAACAAAGACGATGAATGATTAAAGATAGAAATACTTAGACAAAATTAGGGTTTTGGTGGTGATGAGCGATAATGGTGATTTGACGACAACAATGATGATGATGATGATGGTAATTGATAGATAGTTTTCCTACGATTCCTTTTAGTCGCAATTGACTAGGCAAACTTGATAACCAACCCATCTAATCACAATGAGAAGGCAAACTGGAGTGTGAAGATCTCTCTCATGAATAACTTTATGATGAAGAATGCTTCGAAGGCACAAGTCAATCAACACTTGCAAAAAAATTCTCACATTATATTATTAATCCAAAGAAATCTGCTTTTACAATGGTGAATGGAGTCTCTTTTACATAGGAGAAGAGTTCCAAAGTCCTAAGTAACCAATGAATAAAATAATAATAATAACTAGAGATAATATTTGATTCTAATTTCTAATAAAACAATAAGTTTAGTCTTAAACTATAATGCAACTTCCTATATTAAATTTTATTACAAATAATCATAAAATATTCAAAATTCGTAATATTTACAAAATCCCGTATTAATCTCGTATAAAATTTCTGCATGTGTTGTCTTCACTAAAATGAATGTATCTTGAGTTACCGACATTGGATTGATGTGTTTCAGGTACCGTTGGAAAGCTAAGAGACATCCGGTCGTATCTCCTGAAGACATATTGATCAAATAACATCTGGATACCATTTAAAAAGTCACCACAATTTTTCTACTGTTATGATCCTCTTTTTCAAGGCTTGGATGCGTGAATCATTTGGAGAAGTTAGTCCCTCTTCCTTTGATGTGAGTCTCATGATGCATGTCTCATATAGACACACAAAAATCTTGGCAGAAAGAGAGTTAAAAGGAAATAAAAAATAAAGAACACCGGAGATAAAAATGAAAAAAATATGATACTCATCTTTTAGGTACGTTAGTTTTTTTTTACAACGGAGAGATGTTTTCGATGACCCCAACGGTGAAAACTCTTATTTGTGAGGAGAAAATATAGATTTATTTTAATCTGATATGATAATAGAGGACGAAGACAGAAAACAAATGAGATGAACAATTTTGGCTTATCTGTATAGACATGGAGGTAATTTTTTTAGAAACATTTTCGAAATTAGGAGGCTTGGAAGGGGTTGTTTAAAAAATTCAAAGTTAAGACCAAAAACAAATGAGATGAATGATTTTGGCTTATATTTATAGACATTGAGGCAATTTTGATGAAGGCAACTAGTGCTGTAGTCGATGAAACTTTTACAAATTTAAAAACTTGGAGTAGAGAGAGATGAGAGATTTTGTGTGATGAGAGTGTGAAGAACAAAAATGAGAATTAAAAAATAAACATAGTCTTTTATAGTAAAGTATATTAGGTTGGATCGGATTTGATATATATTTTTTTTTATCTTAGATCTGTATAATGATTCGTACCAGATTTTTCTAAAAAAAATTAAACTAAATTAAATTTAATCAAAATTGATCTAATCTAAATCTCATGCCCATCCTAATCTTAACACATATGGGCTGGTAGAAGCTTCCAACCTTTCCTACTCTCAAAAGACTTTATTTATTGAAATGAAAACGACTTGAGCATCTATTTTTTTTATTTGTGATGAAGAAAAACAAAAGAAATTAGGAGTTTTAGGTCAGCAGCAGCCATTTTTGTGAGGCCATATGATTTTGACATACCAACAAAACGAACTGTGGTCTTAATTCAGTGGGCGGTTAGGGTTTGATATTTAATCTTATCCTATCGTTTAAACAATGCTACATTATGTAATATGATCTTAGGTATCATTGAACGAACAACACTTAGCCACCCAAAATAACTAAAATAAATTTTACACATTTCCATCATTAATTATCGGCGTATTATTTAAATTGATATTTTTAATCATTGTAATTTAATTATATTATATTATCTTTAAATTTTTATTTTTATATAATTACCAGCTATCATATATGTAGGGATATATGGAAGAGAGAAACTGGACAATTGTTCTCTTTAAAAATATTAAATTATCATATATTTTATATTTTTATTAAAAAAATATTTTATTTTCCTGTAATTTTATAAATTCATCTTACTTAAAATTTTAAAAAATACATCTTTAATATAAAACTATACGTTCTTCACTATATATAGATACAACATAAACATACAACTTTTTCCAAGAATTTGAACCCCCAACTTAAGACAACCATAAGAAGTTGAACAACAGATGGGAGTACCTTGAGTTTCAACCTGACCCACAACTTTTTTAGTAACACTAACTCATATTGGAGGCCGTTCAATGCAAAGGAGCACCCAAAAAAACCAAAAAAAGAAAATTACAACCCTCATATTCGAATAACATTTATTTAACAAATAAATTGAATTGATTAAATAATAATTTTATTTTATTTAATAAATATAAAATCGATTTATATATTAAAATATATGATACACAAAAATGTCTCTAGCCAAAAGGTTTTGCCAGCATACATATATATATATATATAGTGTGTGTGTGTGTGTGAGAGAGAGAGAGAGAGATTGGATGCCATTATTTTATGTTATCCCTTTACATGTTGTTTCAATGACATATATTATTTAAATATATGAGATTAGGTTATCGGCTTTAAATATAATAATATTCCAATTAGTTCGTCGTTATCTTCCCAAGACGATCTCCCTGGATTACAGATTGTCAATTTTTCTACATTTCTTTGCACTTCGGGAGAAATCATTGGATCATGTAAAATTTAATGTACTAAACAATGTAATTTATTAAATTTCTCAAATAATGCAGTTAAAAAAAATTTGTTCGAATAGGACACTTTTGAAATTATTTCGTGAAATAGAGTAATGCTACAGTAAATCCGAAGATGTATTGGAGTCCAAGCGACTTATTGGGGGAGACGCATGGAGTGCAATGCGTCTCTCATATTTTTTTCACTATGTAAATGTACAAAGGGTAAATTACACAATTAATCATTCATATTTTTATGTTAGTCGTGTAAATATATATATAAACTTTATATCTACTAAATATTCAATTTAAATTGGTATTACAAATATATTTGACATTAATTTAATTATAAAACTATTTTTATTTAAAATACATGAGATATTATCATAGTGATACTATTTTAGACAACAATTTCAATTAGAAATTATGTAAGCACGATGTTTGTTTCTTTAGTACACGAATTCAATGCTTGGACTAAAAAAAAATTACCCCTTGTACATTTATGAAAAAGTGAAAAAAATTACCCTTTAGTACACAAGTTGAGTGATTAAATTGAAAAAATTAAAAGTATAGTGAGTGAATTTAGAGAGAAAATAAAGTTGAATGATTAATTGTGTAATTTACCCTTTAAAAATGTGGGAGACATATTTTTTAGCCTTAATTACATAATTAATCATTCAACTTTACTCTCTCTCCAAATTCACTCACTATACTTTTAATTTTTTTAATTTAATCACTCAACTTTTGTTTTACTCCTATTTTGATCACTCATCGACCATTGTTCAAGTTGTTATATGGAAGTCAATTTCATCCATCAGCTCTAGCATTGAATTTGTGTAATAAAGAAACCAACATCGTGCTTACATAATTTCTAATTGAAATTGTTGTCCAAAACAGTGCAGATGTATTTAATTAATTTGGAGAGAGAATAAAGTTAATGATTAATTGTGTAATTTACCCTTTGTACATTTACATAGGAATGAAATTGGTGAAAAAATATGGGAGACGCATTGCATTCCATGCGTCTCCCCCAAATTTATGTATAAGTCGCTTGGACTTCAATGCGTCTTCGGATTTACTGTAGCATTCACTCTATTTCACGAAATAATTTCGAGAGTGCCCTATTCGAACAATTTTTTTTCAACTGCATTATTTGAGAAATTCAGCCTGAACAATATCATTAGAAATAAATTATGTATTAGTCTTATGCATAAAAATATGTGTGTTTAGATAAAATTTAAATTATATTAAATTTAAATAAAAATAAAATTTTAATATATTAGAGAATATATTTATAATATTTTAACAAATAAATTATAAATAAAAATAATTAAAATAGATGAAAATTTAAAATTTTAAGAGAACGATATCCTAGTTGGGATTCTGGCTCTAGTTCAACCGCCCCACGAGCTAAACATGATTCAGTTTTTCAACACAGCCGAATTCCTGGAACTAGCTCCAATTTTTCACTTAGAGTAAATCATGAATGTTACGTGTGGCGACGGGGGCGGTTGTTGATAATCGTCAGGTCACATATCTGTGGCCAAAATTAAGCCAGCTAAGGACCCTCACTCTCACCAGCCACCCCACCATCGTCGTCCACAAAGAAATAAACATTCCAACGGTGCATTCGTGTCTTTCTCTTACTAAACCCCAAAGAGAAAATGCCAGAAAACGATTGATCAGTCGTCATAATTTCATTGTATATTTAATATCCCAAGACATTAAATTTATTCATTTATCCCAAGCTTTATCCCCACCATTCTCTCAGCCAACTTGGTATATAAAAAACCACCCCATTAACTCACCAAAAGCATAGAGTTTGGTTTCATAGTTTTTCCGGAGTCAGTTGTAAAGAGCAGAACTAGAAGGATGGAGGGAAAAGAAGAAGATGTTAGACTGGGAGCCAACAAGTTCTCCGAGAGACAACCTATTGGGACGGCGGCTCAGTCCCAAGACGACAAGGACTACACTGAGCCACCACCTGCACCGTTGTTTGAGCCCAGTGAGTTGACCTCGTGGTCTTTTTACCGAGCTGGGATAGCTGAGTTCGTTGCTACTTTCCTTTTCTTATATATCTCGGTGTTGACTGTTATGGGAGTCGTTAAGGAACCCACAAAGTGCTCAACTGTTGGGATCCAAGGGATAGCTTGGGCCTTTGGTGGTATGATCTTTGCTCTTGTTTACTGCACTGCGGGTATTTCAGGTAAACATACATATCCTTTACAAAACTTTGCTACATAGACATGTACGATTGAATTATTGATGAAATTATGGTGATGGATAGGTGGCCATATCAATCCGGCGGTGACATTTGGGTTGTTCTTGGGAAGGAAATTGTCCTTGACAAGAGCGATTTTCTACATGGTGATGCAGTGCTTGGGAGCCATATGTGGTGCTGGTGTGGTTAAAGGGTTCATGGGGAAGACAAGGTACGGTACTTTGGGCGGCGGAGCTAACTCGGTGGCTCATGGCTACACCAAGGGAGATGGTCTTGGTGCTGAAATTGTGGGCACCTTTGTTCTTGTTTACACCGTCTTCTCCGCCACTGATGCCAAGCGCAGTGCCAGAGACTCTCACGTCCCTGTAAGTTCAAATTTCATCAGATGATATTTTTGTTAGAATTGTAAAGGGTTTAACTTTAAACTGGTGTTGCCTTCTAGATTTTGGCACCCTTGCCAATTGGATTCGCAGTGTTCTTGGTGCACTTAGCCACCATCCCAATCACCGGAACCGGTATCAACCCGGCTCGTAGCCTTGGTGCAGCCATCATCTTCAACAAGGACAAGGGCTGGGATGACCATGTGAGTCGATTCCTTCACCATTTTCACTCTTTTTCCGTTCTAACCATGAATGTCAGTATGATACTTACCTACTTTGGTTTCATTGCAGTGGATCTTCTGGGTTGGTCCAATGATTGGAGCAGCACTAGCAGCACTCTACCATGTAGTAGTGATCAGAGCCATTCCATTCAAATCAAAATGATCCCATCAACGGCCATGATTATTCTCTCAACAAAAAAAATCCACATCGATCCTTTCAGTTTGTTTGTATGCTCTTTTGTATTTGTGTAAGAATATTGTAATATATGGGGTAGCCTTTGTTGTATCCTTTTTACCTGCTTTGGTTTTTTTAAAGCATAAGAAAAGGCTGGGTGCTGATGGCAAATTGGACTCATCTCAAAGCTGGCATTGTAATTTGTATGAATGTGGTTTGTGAAATGTCATTTTCATAATAACGCCGACCCAAAACCTACTTCCATGGTTTGATGTGTGTTTTTGTTCTATTATATTTGCTGCAATGACGCGTGATACATGTAGGATAATAATTGAGACGACGAAAGCGGCTCTTTGCATTAAAATAATACCAACTTGGTCGGTTTTTCTTATCCAAATATCGACCTAAAAATTTAATACTTAAATTAATACTTTCTATGTCGGTTTTTTAAATTATCTTATTCAAAATGTTAGGTTAAAAAGTAAAAAAAAAAATCTTTTTTTACCTTTAAATGTTTCTTTGTTTTATATCTATCAAAACAAATTAGTTAAATCTATCAACCATTTTTTAAGAATAATTTTGTCATTTTCCTTATATCTCCTAAAATTATGTACATAATCAATATAACACAAATTAGGATAGAAGGAGTGTTTATTTATTAATTCTTGAACTAATATTTTATTATTACATACACATAATGTGTTTCTCATAAGTGTTTTTCCAAGACATTTTTCATAAAATACGTCTTCATCAAATGAGGATTGTCCAGTCAGTAATATTATCAGAAATAAAAGACGATTTTCATAAAAAACATCTCTAACAAATATTAAACAAATAAAATACGAGATAAATTTAAAAAAGTTAAATATTTTTAATTATAATAAATTTTTTACCATAAATACAAAATAAGAATATTGATAAATAATTAAAATAAAAAATATATTTTTCAAACGATGAGATTTTTGTAAATAAGTTTTATAGTACAGTGATCATCTGTTTCGCATGAGATTTTTTCTTATTAATCAATCATCAATATGAATGTCGTCGTTATAATTTTCATCATCTTGGCTGGTATTATGTCCAATATCATCGACATCAACGTGTGCCGCCAACGTCAATGATAACCTATGCCAGCGTCAATGATAACCTATGTAGAATAAAGAACGTGAAGGTGCATCATCAACAATCCATCAACTTAATGAGAACTAGAAAAAAAATAGAAAAAAGTGGCATCATCGGTTCGATTAATTGGATTGACTACGGTGGATGAGTAGCACCCGTCAAATACAAAGCACATTAAACCAATATTGTCCTCACATTACATGTGTATAATAATCTAAGGGCAAATTCGATATTAATAAAACATAATATGGTGAATGATGCATCGATGCCATCGATTGTGTACGATGTGTTGTTCCAAATGGTGTTGTTGAAGACCAAGTGAAAAAGTTTACTCTTCTCCGATTAGTCGAGGGATGATGTAGTCTCGTCGGTGGACGCTTGTCCCTACGATAACTCTTCAAACAATAGATATAGTTTCTCGTCTTGTATGACCCATCTCACGTAATTACTTAAAACAATCATACCTAGAAGACTTAAAATAATAACGATCGAGAATACAATCATGCGTGTCTCCCAAATCTCTAATCACTTTGTGTGCTTCCTCCGTCAATCAATATATGTCTTTCTTCATCTATCAATGTTGTATAAATTATCCAAGTCAACAATGGGTATTGAAATATAGTGAACTAAGCTCGTGTAGCATACAATCACTTAAATTTTATTTAATAATTATGTAACAAATAAGAGATATATTTTTTGGATTAAATTTTATATGTATAATGTATAATGTTATCATAAAACATGACATGAAATTAAGTGACCAATTATATTACATGTGTCATAAGTAATAAAAAGTCATAAGTAATAAAGAGTCATGTAATTAAAGTGTAAATAATATAAGTTACATTATAATTTGATGAAAATTTAATGAAGGACATAATTATAAATACTTAATAGATTGACATAATATTCATTTTATATAGATACCATATATATGTGTAGATTTTGAGCTCTTGATTTTATATCAATTATGTTTCGGTTTTGTCAACTTTCACATATTTTTTTGAGAATAGCGTTTTGAATATTTTTGAATGACGGAGCATAACAAAACAAAATGATAGAAAATGAAGTCTCGTTAAAAAACCTCCCTAGACCTAGATATGGAAAAATAATACCCCAAATCACTGCCTAAAAAGCATTCCTTATCGAGATACACCATTGAAAAGCTGTGAACATAACAGCTAATCCCAACACCCCTAAAGATCAAGAACACTGCAAATTTCAGACAGCTAGTACTATTCAACATGCTTAGAGGAGAGCCCACATCATGTTGTTGATTCAAAACTATTCGCCCATCATCGGCTCTCTTAACAAAAGCACAGTAGGAGATTAAATGAAACCTATTCAGAATCTTCCACCACTTAATCCAGGCCAGAAACATGTGATACTCAACCAATAAATTCCACTACATTACTATGAATTTAGAGACACACTGAAACCTGTAAGCATACCACGCAGACAGACCACCTCCTATTACAGCTCAACCAATTCAAACAAATAACAGAACATAGACCTACAGAAGCACCATACAAACAATCCACCTGCTGACAGTTCAACCAAATCAAAACGACAACACTAATGAGGTCAAATAAAAAAATGACACAGCAGAAACATGAGTATTGCATGACATAATCACATAAACAAAATGTAATAAGGGAGGAACTCCTCAACATACTAACTAAGCACCCACAGCAAAGGCGTTGGGACACCTGGCTAAATCAATAGCCGAGGGATAAACATGAGGCCAATTGTACTTGTACCAGGAACCAATCCTCGTCAACGCCAAATTATATAGAGAATCTTCTCAGAGAACTTTCTTATCGAAAAACACCTTGTTTCTACACAACCATATGGACCATACTAACCCAAAAAACATTAAATGCCATGATTCCGAGGCTGATTGATCCATAGAGACATGAATGATCTAAAGTTACCTAGGCATGCAAAAATGAATGCTTCAATCCAAAGTCCATCTCTGCCATAAGCTTTACACGGCATCGCAATGGCAGAAGAGATAATTGATAATCTCTGCCATAATCCATCGTAAGCTATCATTATCAGAATTACCCCGAGCTGCTCTGTTAAGCGTGCGAATGAATTCATCCCATATGTTCAAATCCCAATCAAGCAAGACTCTCCTGATTACAATATTCCAAACTCACCTCCCATTGATCTTAGTTCCAAACTCAGAGACTTCCCTGATTTTCTGACTACCACACCATAAATTCTAGGAAATGATAACTTTAAAGACGGAAACCTAGTCTAAAAGTCATCCCAAAAGTTAATCCGACTACCATGCCTAGTGACATTCTTAGATTCTTAGTGAATGAGAGTCATCAATGTTTGCTAACAGATACGAGATGTTCCTTCATATACATGATACTTTCCTTGTGGGTAGGGATTTCGGAAGCAAAGCAATATGATCAAGATCCCATTTAGCTACCATCACTTTCCTCCAAATGTTATCAGGCTCGTGCCCATACCTCCATACCTATTTATTGGACCTATTTTTGGTCCGCAGATCTGAAATTCTGATACCACCATGTGACTTGGTTTGCAAAAGTTATCCCAACTAACCCAATAGATAGCTCTACCTTTGCAAGACCCCCGTAAGAACCTCGCAATAATCATATTTAACTTTGAGCAATCGAAGTTGGCATTTGAAATAGAGAAAGGTAGTAAACCGAAAAAGTGGCGAGAACGAATTTATTTCTATGCATGATATGCTTGAAGAGATGGGCAAGGACATTGTTCTCCAAGAATCTGAAGTCTTTAAGAATGAGTAGTAGGTTATGGAGTCCTAAAGACTTGTATCAAATGCTCAGATATAATAAGGTAAGTACTAATTGTATTTATATTCTTTTTAATCTTTTCATGTGTTGTCACCTATTAACATGTTTGAAGCATAGTGCATTGTCATTGAATTAAAATTATGACAATATCATCAAAACTTTTAAAATAAATCCAACTGATTTTACTTTTAATTATGTCATCATCTGGTTCATTGACACTGTATCAAATATTAAGCCTTTCAATTATTATTTTGAAAAATGAGATTTATATGGGTTTATAGAAATCAGTGCTTATTTTTCATTTCATAAAATAAACATTGTTCGAGTTTGCTGTGGCTCATTGCTGATGTTGCAAGAGCTGTTGTCTTGTTGTTTTCTGTTTTAACATCCAGATACAGAGTTATATTGATGACTTCATACTCAATTTTTAAAAAAAATTAAAATCCAATATATATTTACTTACCATAAATTTCTCTATACCGATACTTCTCTTTTTCATACAGTTATCCTTACTGATACTTGAGGAATTGTTTTTTGTTATTAGGGAACTGAATCAATTGAAGGAATAAAGTTAGACATGTCTCAAATTGACAATCTATGGTTAAATCCTACTGTTTTCGAGGACATGCTAAATCTTAGATTTATTCTCTTCTATTTTCCTGGGAGTTTTTGGAGAAAGAGTCGGAATAAGAAGCTACATGCTGACGGAGTTGATAGTTTATCTCTTCCTGATGAGCTAAGGTATATTTGGTGGGAGACTTACCCCTTCAAATCTCTATCGGACTTTAATCCAAAGAATCTTTGGAGCGAAGATGATCATTATGTATTCTTTCATGCTTTCTTCGTCCAAGATTTTTTTCTTTTCCCTTTTGATGCAATCCAAAGTATGTAGATGGTGCTTAGAAATAATATAGCTGTTTTATATTTTCATTGCACAGGTTCTTGTTAATTTATAGGAAATATGCCTTACTGATTGCAAGAATTTAAGGAAGATCCCTATTCTACTAGGAGCCATCAACCTTAAAATCCTAAACTGCCACGGGTGTGAAAGTTTGGTCGAACTTCCTTGCCTCAACCATTTGGCATCTCTTAAGACGATTGAACTTACGGGATGTCTTAATCTCAAGAAGTTTCCTGAGGTCCCGAATCACTTTTCTATTTTAGAATTAGAAGAAACAGGAATTTAAGAAGTGCCTGATTCAATTGTGAATTTCTTTAGACTTGAAAAGTTGTTTTTGAATGATTCAAGGGTTAAAAATGTATCCAGCAATATTTCAAAATTGGAATTCATTCGTTCTCTGGATCTTAGTCATTGCCTACTTGAATTCCCCAAACATCAAGAAGATTTAC